TTTATTTTTCATAATTTATATGCCGCCCTTCTCCCCACGGGACTCAGGGCGGCTCACAGCATATTAAAATAACACAACACAAACAACACAACACAACATTTCCCCTATAAAAGCCAATTAAAACCAAATATTTATAGTCTGTGACATTATTAAAATCATTAAAAATTATCCCTATTTAAAATTCACCCTAGGTCAGTCCTGCTTGCTGAAAAAGCCATGTCTTGAGGGCGCGGCGGAAGGTTAGGAGATCCGGAATTGTCCGGATCTCGGGGGGTAGCTCGTTCCAGAGGGTGGGGGCACCCACAGAGAAGGCCCTCCCCCTGGGGGTCGCCAGCCGACATTACATTCATTTGCCACTCGCCTCGTCATAAAATGACTTTGTTCCGTGCTAAACCACATTTCCTCCACGTTTCCATCACATACCTGGTGCACAATATAAATTCCGTAATGTAGCTGTTGGCGCTGGAGGAAAGGGTGTAGGTAGTACAACAGGTGTCGGAGGTGAGTCTCCCGGTTGCGGTGGGGGATGATGATGGCCGTCCGGGAGCGGGACTCACAGTTGAAAGGACGGTATCTGCCTCCTAATTCGATGGCCGGGTTTTTCTCCTGAATCTTCTCCAGTGTGGGCACCTGGCTGAAACTCACCATCAAAGGGCCAACTAAAAGGAACCAAAAGGATAGATAGATAGATAGATAGATAGATAGATAGATAGATAGATAGATAGATAGATAGATAGATAGATAGATAGATAGATAGATAGATAGATAGATAGATAGATATAAAGAGATAGATAGACAGACAGACAGACAAAGAGATAGATGATAGATAGATAGATATAAAGAGATAGATAGATAGATAGATAGATAGATAGATAGATAGATAGATAGATAGATAGACAGACAGATAGACAGATAAAGAGATAGATGATAGCTAGATAGATAAATATAAAGAGATGATAGATTGATAGATAAAGATAGATGATAGATAGACGGATGGATAAAGAGATGATAGATTGATAGATAAAGATAGATGAAATAGATAAAGATAGATGATAGATGATATAAAGATAGATGATAGACAGATAAAGAGATAGATGATAGATAGATAAAGAGATGAAAGATTGATAAAGATAGATAGATAGATAGATAGATAGATAGATAGATAGATAGATAGATAGATGATAGATAGATAGATAGATAGATAGATAGATAGATAGATAGATAGATAGATAGATAGATAGATAGATAGATAGATAGATGATAGCCTTCAAATTGGAGGTCCTCGCCAGTGACTTTTGGGGACACCGAGGCAGGAAGGTCCATCCTACTCACTCAGGTGTGGGGACCGATCCGGGCAGTAGGGCAGGGGTCTGCTGGTGCTGGGCCGAGGGGGCAGCTGGAAGACCAGGCTGAAGTTGGTGTAGACGTCGTGCGTGCGGGAATAGTCGAAGGAGGGGTTGGTGTCCCGGCCAAAGATGGAGGCCAGGTTGCGGAAGCCGCCGAAGGAAAAGTAGGCCATGAAGAGGAACTGGAAGCCGATCAGGAGAGCCAGGGTGCAAGGCCGGTCCAGGAATCGGCGGAGCATGGCGCTGGAGCATTGGATCAGCCAGGGACACGGGTTCTGTCGCCGGGAGAAAAAGAGTGAGAGACGGCCTGTGGCAAAAAGCAGATTTTTTTTCCTCCCATTTCCATCCTGCTTTTCCCCTCCTTCCTACTTTTCCCCCCACAACATCCCTGCCAGGTGGGCTCGATTGAGCGCGACGGGTCCAAAGTCCCCCCAGGGGACTCCTCCTCCTCCTCCTCGTTCCTAGTCCCAAAGGAATCAGCCTGCCGACGGGACAGTCAGTCAGTCCTCGGCTTTACGACGATTTGTTAAGTTACGACGAGGCTGGAAAATGCGTCTCGGGATCGGCTTCCACGCTTGACGTGGTCACGTGATCAAAATCCAAAGGCTCGGCAACTGGCTTGTGTTTATGACGGTTGCAGTGTCCTGGGGTCACGTGGTTCCCCTTTTGCGACCGGTAATTTTCCGACCGGCAAAGTCGATGGGGGAAGGCTGATTCGCTTAACGACTGCACGATTCGCGTAACATCCGCTTAACAATTGTGGCAACAAAAAAAAAAGTTGTACAACGGGGCATAACTCACTGAACGACTGCCTCGCTTAGCAACGGAAATTTGGGGGTTGTGGTCGTAAGTGAGGGACGATCTGTTAAAGGATTTATATTTACGCCTTTTCCCCTAACGTTCATTACCACAAGTCTGCAGGGTAGGCTGAGAGAACACAACATCCCAAAAGTCACATTGTGAAGAGACTCTATTTTACACACACACACACACACACACAAAGTCACATTGTGCCTTTGCACAGACTTTGCCAACATCAGACTGTAAGAAGAGAGACTGGTCTGCATTACAAAGGAGATATACCAGTATTTGAGTCAACGCTCAGGAATGTTGGAGGCCGGCAACTCCTGTTTGGTGTGTGGGCTTGTTAAGTTTCTAGTCCTCAACCCCAAAATTTTCCGCCTCTGCTTCCTTCTGGTTTCCCAATATGCAGCAAATATCCAAAACACACAGATCGGCCCTCTCGCAAAAAGGCCGTCATTTCGTATCCTATTTTTTTAAGCATTATTAATTTACAAAACCTGCCGCGATATCGTGACAGCAATCTTTCCGCCCCATCCCACAAGCAAAATGCAAGGGTTTTTTTTTGTTTTGTTTTTTTAAAAAAAACCTCTAAACTGGCAAAAACCGGTTCGTTTTCTCTCGTCCAACCAGCAAATTCTGAATTTCCTATTTCAACCCTCGCCAAACCTCCCAATGTGACTTGCTGGCAAGCAATCCCCAGCAGGAGTGTTCTGCAAAATGAACAATAACAACAATATATCCTTTATTTACTTCCCAGACCACACCGTCAAAGAAAAGGGGTGTTCGAAAGAGAAAGGGGCAACTGGCAGAATTTCATAATATTTTGCAGAATTTAACTCTTAACTACAGGCAAGTCCTCAACTTACAACCTGCCTCCAGAAGCGGTGAATGCTCCAACACTGGAAGTTTTTAAGAAGAGACTGGACAGCCATTTGTCTGAAATGGTATAGAGTTTCCTGCCTGAGCAGGGGATTGGACTAGATGACCTCCAAGGTCCCTTCCAACTCTGTGATTCTGTTATTCTGCTATTCTTTTTTCCTTCTTTCCTTCCTTCCTTCCTTCCCTCCCTTCCTCCCTTCCTTCTTTCCTTTCTCATCACTGGCAGTTTTTAAGAAGAGACTGGACAGCCATTTGTCTGAAATGGGATAGGGTTTCCTGCCTGAGCAGGGGGTTGGACTAGATGACCTCCAAGGTCCCTTCCAACTTTATTATTATTATTAGTTCATTTAGTGACCGTTCAAAGTTACAACGGCACTAAACAAAGTGACTTATGACCAGTTTTCAGTTAACAACAGAAATTGTGGTTCTAAATAGAGGACGACTTGTGTACGCAATCCCGTTACGGGCAGCCTGCAAATTTTCCCATTTTTATTGTGAAACCCACGTGGGAAGAGAGGGCAACGGGGAAGGCCTACAGATGTAATAAATCCAAATTAAATTAAATAAACAGAGGAGACTTCAGACAACGACTCTGCCCGGTTTCAGCTCCGGATTCCGGCTACAGGCTCGGGAAAAAAAAACTGGGATTAATCTCGGAAGGCATCCAGACGGCGTTTTCCAGCAGCTCAGCCTTAAATCCAGATTATCCCAAGAAGGCCGCAAACCAAGGCCGGAATTAGGGAACATAATCCCATCTGCTTTCCGGAACGGACATCAGAAATGTCATCCAGATGACAACGTATACAGATAGTCCTCAACGTACGACCGCAATGGGGCCCGACACCTTTGTGGCTAAGTGAGACATTTGTTCAGTGAATTTTGCTCTGTTTTAAGACCTTCTTTCCCACCGTTAAGTGAAAATGGCTTCCTTATTGACTTTGCTTGTCAGAAGTTTGCAAAAGGGGGTCACGTGATCCCGGGACGCTGCGACCGTCATAAACACGAGTCAGTTGCCAAGCAGGCTGCCATGGTCATAAGGTGGGGGGGGGGGAAACGGTCATTAAGTCACTTTTTCCAGTGCCGTTGCAATTTTGAACGGTCACTAAATGAACCGTCGTAAATCGAGGACTACCTGTAACCCGTTCCTTTTTTTTTCTGTTCCCCCCCCACACAATTTCCTTCCTTGCTTCCCAGCTCCCAAACTCAAGATCAGAGGAGCAAAAGAGTCCGATGTAAATTCCGAAACCGGAACCCGTGGTTCCCAATTTCACCTGGTTCAAAGCCAGCAAGATCAAAATAAAGGAAGGGCAGTGAGGATGATGATGATCACAAAGTATCACTACTAATATCAATATAAAGTGGTTTCAAAATATACGTGTGTGTGTGTGTGTGTTAAATTTGGATTGCTAACAAAGAGTTAAAGGGAAGCTGGTATACCGTATAGTTACTTCAAGCTCCTTATATATATATATATATAACTTTGTTTATGTGCAAGTA